ATATAGCGCTTTTCACGTCGGGAGGACGTCCCAAAATGCTTCACAGAACACACTGTAAAGTGAATTGACTGTATATTTGTGGGCAAACGCGGCAGCCAATTGCGCACAGCAATGTCCCAAAAACAGTCGTAGATTGAAAATGACCAATTATTATTGTTTTTGTTTGTCTAATTTCTACTTTTATTTCCCCATTTACCCACTACAGTATAAACTCAGTACTGTGTATCTGTTAATATTGTTGGTACAAACTAGGATTTAAGATATTTACATAACAAAAAAGAAATTAGAAACAATTTAGAAGCCATTATAAAGATGACAGCAGCAATTGTATTACATGCTCAGAAGAAATCATGTGGTGTGCTATGAATATTTATTGAATTAATTTTTAACTCCTACAGCGATAGCTACATAGTTTTCCATCCTATCATGATATTTTCAAAGAAATAATAAAAGTCCTTCCATTTGATAATAACACTTTCACATCAGAGAGATGTCTCAAAACACTTCACAGGATATACTCTAAAATCAGCATTTTGTCCCAAGGATGTCCCTGGTCAGGGATGTGGACATACAAACAGTGGGGTTTGAATCTACAACCTTCTGATTCAGAGACAAGCACACTATTGACTAAGCCAGGCTGATCTTTGTTCCATTGATATCTGGTTTGCATCCTTTCTATCCTCTCCCCACTTTATTGATCATGCTAGATTTTAAGCTTATAATTGGGAGAGGGATAGGGACTGGGATACAATTTGTATTTGATGCATCAAATGCTGGCAAAGTCACTGAGTAAAACATTCTCTAGGACTGTGATAACTTCCAATAAAACCCCACTTGACAGTGACGTCGCAAACGTCCACTCATCCTCGGACATTCTCTCCCTCTGCCCGCAGTGATCCAGAAGCAGCTGTCAAGCTGCTAAACGATCACCTCTCCTCAACTTTCAATTCCTTCGACCCTCTGTAAACCAGGTCCGTCTCCAAGCCTACCCACTCCCCCAGTACAATGGTAGAACAGTCATCTCCACTCTCCCAAATCCTAAACCCGGTTGCTCGAGCACAAACTGGCCTCACGATTTACTGCCAACTGTGGCTCGAGTATCTTCATACCTACCGTCACTCCCTCTCCCAAGCCAAAACCATTTTTTACTCTCAGGTCATTCTCGAGATCAAAAACTCCAAAATCATGTTCTCCACTACCCAGGACCTCCTCCACACCCCTTCTCAAGTATGCTCGATCCTCACTTCTAACGCAAAGTGAGAAGAGGTCCTGGACTTCTTTATCTCTAAGATAGATAGCATCTGCTTAGTTGCCTCCTACTCCCCCACATGTTGCCTACCACCCATTCCTCCTTCACCACCCTCTCCTCCTACCACGGCCTCCAAACCTACACTCCTTCCAGCGCTTTGGGATGTCCTCCCGATGTGAAAGGCGTTCTATAAATGTAATTTTGTTGTTGATGTTGTTTGCTCCCATCTCTCATAGGACCATACAACAACAACAACAACAACAACATTTCATTTATAGAGTGCCTTTCACGTCGGGAGGACGTCCCAAGGCGCTGGACAGTTGGGTCGGACAAAAGAACAGGAGTAGGACATTCAACCTTCTGAACCTGTTCCTTCACTCAATTAGATCATGGATGATCTGTACCTCAACTAATGCTGTCAATTCAATTTTTCCACTTTCTCCCCAGATACCCTGACCTACCATAAATCTATCAACCTCACTCTTGAAGTGTTGATGAATCCAGCATCCGCAGCCTTTTGGGGGAGAGAATTCCAAATTTCTACCATCCTTTGAGTGAAAAAATGGTTCCCGATTTCACTCTTAAATGGCCTGGTACTAATTTTAAGACTATGCCCCTCCTCCCTCCTCCCTTTCACCCCCACCATCACCTAGATGAAGCCCAGCCTCCACTGGCTCCCAATTACCAAATGGATCAATTTCAAGATCCTCTCATTCGTTTTCAAATCCCTTAATGCCCTCGCACTTCCCTACCTATCCAATTTGCTTATCCCACATTCCACCACCCACTGCCTCCCCTCGGCCGGCTCCAGCTTCCTGTTTATCCTTTGTACCCCCTACTCCACCATCAGTAACCATGTCTTCAGCCACTACGTCTCGAAGCTCTGGAACTCTCTCCCTCAATCCCTCTGCCTTGTCTCCTCCCTCCTCATTTTCAGATCCTACCTAAAGACCTTCCTTTTTGGAGTCCTGTAGCTCAGTGGTTAGAGCATTCGCTTTGCAAGTGAGAGACCTGAGTTCAATTCCAGGCAGGGCGAAACCTTGGGCAAGTTTCCTTACTCCACACAGAGCCTAATAATAATCCCTCCAAAACCAAAAACAATAATAAATTGGTCATTTTCAATCTATGACTGTTTGTGGGACATTGCTGTGCACAATTGGCTGCCGCGTTTGCCCACAAATATACAGTCAATTCACTTTACAGCATATTCTGTGAAGCGCTTTGGGACATCTAGAAGACGTGAAAAGCGCTATATCAAATGCAAGGATTATTATTATTATTTTTGATCCTGCTTACAGTCACCTCCCCCCTGCCCGGTCCCGCTGGCTCTGGGTCAGACTACATCACTGTCAAGCGCTCCGGGACACTACCCCAGGGCGCAAAATAAATGTAAGTTGTCGTTGTTGAAACTGAATGTAGAATAGCATCTGAACAATTTTTGCGAATCGTTTTAAATGTTATGATTTAACTTTCCCTGACTACCAGGCGTTTACTGAACCTCTAATGCTCTTGATTACGGCAAGGTCGACCAATAGATGAAGGGATCGAGATTTGACCTTCTCCCCCTCTCTCTCTCCCCTGTGTTGAGTTCTCAATCATGTAGTGGCACTTGCCTGTGGAGAAGGGCGCTGTAACAGAAGCCGGGCTTTCCTTGGGGGTGGGGAGAGAAAACCGAAAGGACGAAGTGACCGGGTCACTGACGTGTAGCATTTATACAGCGAGTGAAGGGCACTGACGTCGGGACGTCCTCCCGACGTGAAAGGCGCTCTATAAATGGAATCTTGTTGTTGGTGTTGTCAGTGTGTCAGCTGTTGGCAAGTTACCCTCTCCTCCCTGGATGCTTCATGCTCCAACTTTGGAGACAATGTCTCCCGGTGGACTCCTGTGATAATGAGCCTCTGCGTGACGTGTCCTGTGTGCACCATTGCAATTTTCCCATCGATGGATCAGCAATGAAGCATTCGGTGTATGTTGCTACTTGAGGGACATTACTCAACGCATTCGCGAGTAATCCGAAACATGGAATGCACAGAGCACATTGCGCCGCAAGATGCCACAGCATTTAAGGTCAACCCCAATTTGAGTTCCAGTGGCTTTTAATCGACACCTTCAACCAGGATCCCTTTTTTTCCCTTCACGACTGTAAATATTTGCAGAAGCCTAAAGTGAGCGATTAAAATCAGTTGTCTGCCTGGCCCCTCACATCTCAGGGTGCTTTAAACTGGAGAGAGAGAGAGAGAGGGAGGGAGGGAGGGAGCAGAAGTGGAAAAATGCCTTTATTATGGAATATAACCTAACGCACGTTTAGAGATTTTGCCAAACAACTGACCTTGAATTTTTTGCAAACGTAACACTCCCTATATAACCCCCCACCACCCCCCGCCTCTGAGAGAGAGAGAGAGAAAACCCATCCCTTTGAACCCAGTGCTGGTGACTTGGGAGGGAGGGAGGGAGAGCAACCATGACCGAGCCCGGGACCAGTCCCGCCCACACGAGCCGATTGGTCAGGCTCTGCTGGGTCGAGGTTGATGGACAGGTGTCGGAGCGCTGTGTATGGGCGGCGGGTCTGTCTGTCAGGCCCGACCCCGCCCCCCCGGCGCTCAGCTGTCAGCGGCGGCTGTGCGAGACGTGGGGGCGGCGGCTGCGGGGGGGGGGGGGAGGGGGAGGTCCCTCAGTCACTCACTCAGTCAGTCAGTCGGTCACTCGGTCGGTCACTGGTCGCCGCTGCTTTACATGGGGAACGCCATTATGGGTTTAAAGCGGACAGTCGGCGAACTGGGCAAGTCCGGGCACCGTGATAACCTACCCGTGTGTGCAGAGTGAGGGGAGGGAGGGAGTGTGCGAGTGGGAGGGAGGGAAGGAAGGAGGGAGTGTGAGGGAGGGAGTGAGTGTGAGAGGGAGGGAGGGAGTGAGGGAGTGTGAGAGGGAGGGAAGGAAGGAGGGAGTGTGAGAGGGAGGGAGTGAGTGAGGGAGTGTGAGGGAGGGAAGGAAGGAGGGAGTGTGAGAGGGAGGGAAGGAAGGAGGGAGTGTGAGAGGGAGGGAGTGAGTGAGGGAGTGTGAGGGAGGGAAGGAAGGAGGGAGTGTGAGAGGGAGGGAGGGAAGGAGGGAGTGTGAGAGGGAGGGAGGGGGAGGGAGTGTGAGGGAGGGAGGGAAGGAGGGAGTGTGAGAGGGAGGGAAGGAAGGAGGGAGTGTGAGAGGGAGGGAGTGAGTGAGGGAGTGTGAGGGAGGGAAGGAAGGAGGGAGTGTGAGAGGGAGGGAAGGAAGGAGGGAGTGTGAGAGGGAGGGAGTGAGTGAGGGAGTGTGAGGGAGGGAAGGAAGGAGGGAGTGTGAGAGGGAGGGAAGGAAGGAGGGAGTGTGAGAGGGAGGGAGGGAGTGTGAGAGGGACAGAGGGAGGCAGTGAGTGAGTGAGGGAGTGTGAGAGGGAGGGAGGGAGTGTGGGAGGCAGTGAGGGAGTGTGAGAGGCAGTGAGGGAGTGTGAGAGGGAGGGAGGCAGTGAGTGAGTGAGGGAGTGTGAGAGGGAGGGAGGGAGGGAGGGAGGCAGTGAGGGAGGGTCTCGGGTTGGGGGCTGCAGTTGGCAGTGTATTGGGGCCCTGACAGCTCCTGGTTCCCGGAGAGTGAAGGTGTAACGGGGGCCCTCCAGCGCTTTGTTTACCTCAGGCCGAGCGGGCGGGCGGGCGGGCGGGCGGCCCTGTGCCGGTCACCTCCCCCTCCCCCCCCCACTGCTCCCCCCCAACCCCAACCCCACCCACTCCCTCTCCCCGTTATAATATTTTCGTAAAGATGGCGGAGGAACCCCAGCCTGCAAACTAATGACTGTCAGAAACATCGCTTCCATTTGTAATATGGTGAGTAGACACGGACCGTGGACACGCTCGGGGGTCAGTGAGCCCACCCCCCCCCACACACACACACACACCCACCCCCACCCCACCCCCCCCCCACACCCCCCCCAGGGTGTGCACAGGGAGCCCCCCCCCCACCAGGGTGTGCACAGGGAGCCCCCCCCCTAGGGTGTGCACAGGGAGCCCCCCCCCCCCCAGGGTGTGCACAGGGAGCCCCCCCCCAGGGTGTGCACTGGGAGCCCCCCCCAGGGTGTGCACAGGGAGCCCCCCCCCCCCAGGGTGTGCACAGGGAGCCCCCCCCCCCCAGGGTGTGCACAGGGAGCCCCCCCCCCCCCAGGGTGTGCACTGGGAGCCCTGACCTGGTCCAGTTCAGGCACAACTCGCCGCTGGACGTGGCTTTTCCCGCAGCAGCTGCTGCTGCACCGCTGCCCATCATCATCGTCCAGGAACCCGAGACCTGGTGCGGATGGAGTTAGTTCTCCTGCCACACGCACACGCATTTTTGGTCAAACGTAACTTCTTGTTTTTTTTTTAAAAAAATAAAAGTCGGCATTGATGTTGTGAGACGGCTTTTGTTTTTAATTTTTTTTAAAAAAAGAATGTGTCCACTCCACTTGCGCGCTCCGAACTCGATATTATTTATCCGAGGGTGTGCAGTATGTCGGTCCCGTAGTTGGATTGAGAAATCCGATTGGTAACAAAAGGAATCTTTCTTTGCACTTGATCTCGATCCGAAACCTTTCGTTTTGGGTTAACCAACTGACTTGCCACTGTCTCAAGTCGTGGTCGTGTAGAAGCACAATTGATACATTGATTTCCTGTCGAAAATTATTGCACATTATTATCAGAACGTTTTTTTAAATATATATATATATATATAGGGGGGGTTTGTGTTTCTTGTGTTTCATGTGTTATCTTCCAAGAACGTACAGTGCTGCTTTTCAGGTGATGTCTCGGTCACCTCGCCACCGTGCATACCTGTGGTTAGTAATGTGCATACAACTTTCAGAAAGTTTCAACATGCTGAGCCAATTCGTGCATAACATATTTGTAATGGGTGCTGAATCGAAAAGGAAAAATAATTATCAGATAGAATTTGTAGGAATTTTGTTTCTGAATTATCCCCATCGCCGGAAAACTGGATTGAGGAATCTTGATTTCGAAACTGCAATGTACCTCTCTTTATTACCTTCGTAAAAGCAAGGCAAAAAATACCTGCCAAAATATTTCCAGCAAAATTATTTAATTAGATAGTGAACTTGTAAGAAGCATGGAATTCAGTTGTGTGCCTTTTGCCCCTATATTTCAGGTTCTTAGACAGGAATCAAGAAGCAGAACAGTCCTGCAAGTGTGTAAAATGTTACTAATATTGATTCCTCCTGCAAAAATGTACATCTTATTATTTGGTGGGTGTTCTTATCTGGTAACGTATATGTGATCCTTCAGTAAAACGTTTATCATTTGTGAGCTATGGCCTTTGGTGTTCTAACAACAGATGACCTGGGTTTGGGTTTCTTCTCACTATTTTATCACAGAAAAAAATCCCATGTTTGTAGAAATGTACAGCACAATATACATACAAAGATGAATGTGGGATCATATGTTGCACAATGAAAAAAAATTCAAGCTCCAATTGTTTTTCAGTGCAAGTGAACACTGATTAATTTCTGAAAATGGATTTCAAAATGCATGCCTTAATATTTATTTCTTAAAATGCTATCATCGGATAAATAGGTTTGTAAATGTAGGTTTGCGTAGACTGGTATTTGCTGGTTGGAGGCTATAAGATTGACCCAAACCTTTTGTACTTTACAACATCCATGTATTATATCCCAAAGCAATGCATTAAAAGATGGCTACAGCTATTACATGAGTTTCGAAGGGATTGATTTCTTAAACTGTAGTAAGAAACCAAAGCATACTTGGGTAGAATGGAATCCTGTGTGGTGACCATTTTTATGCAATTCCTTGAACTTGCTTGTTTATTATACAAATGCAAAATTAATTTTTTTATTAAAATAAAGTTAGTTGCTCGAAAAAAAGTAGTTTTATTTTATGTAGCAGTTGCATTGACATACACAAGTGCAAGTAATTTTGTAGTAAGAGGAAAGTACTTCAGGTGAGTACCAGGTCCTTGTAGGGGGTATAAAGCATTTAAGACTTAACATATACAGTATATCATGGCCAGAATATTATTTGTGCAGGACTACAGAAACTAAATTGCTAGTCCAATAGTACATTTGTCAAGATCAGGAAATTACAAATTCTGCACATTACATGCATTACTAGAAGACACAAGTATTGATGCATCAATACATTTAATAGTTGCAGGCTAGAAAAGTACAGGACATTTTTTCCTGAGTTTGTAGTTAATTGATCACTTAAATCTTGTATTTTGGCTGGTCCCTTAGAGTTCAGAACTCAGGATCATTGGTTTTAAGCAGCTCTGTATGCCATTGTACCGTTTGATAAATTGGACCCTATAACTACAGATGAATTCTGGATGATGAGTACTATTCGTTTCGATTGTGGCTGTCAGGTTACAGACTTTGAAGGATGTGTAGAGAAGTACACAGATATGGTGGTAACCATTGAAAATGTCCAATCATCAGTTAAAGAAGTCTAAGCTTCATTCACATCAAGTCAAGAATAGTTTAGTCAGCACAACCACTGAGTGCTGAACCACTCTTATTTTGTGCCAATTAAAATGTAGAGTAGATTTTAAATTTTTTATGTGATGTATGTGGTGAGAAAGACCAGGTATGGGAGATATTTTGCTATATAAAACTGACATTAAAGCACCATATTATAAGCTCTGATGTTCGTTACATTGAATTATCTCTCTCATATTCATGTGGAGCAGGTCAATCATGGGTGACTGAGCTGAGTTAGAGGCAGAAAGCTTCTACACGTTCTTTAACTACATTTAGAAATGTTTCCCTTGTGGAATCCTTCACGTTGTTGCCAGCTCAGAGACCTCTCCTCTTCTTTCCCTGCCCCTAACTTTGTGGATCTGCCAGTCTTAAATCCTTGCTATTCTCGCCTCACACCTCATCACTGACTACCTGCCATTGAAGTGTGCCTTCTCTAAATGTGCAACATAATGTAATGACTCCTGGGATAGAGGGTGCTCTCCTTTTCAATATGTTTGCAGATCACCACAATTTGTAATCTGTGTTATCTTATGCGTCAGGCGTCCTGTTCTGATGATTTATAATCCTGGGAATGAAACCAGATGCCTGTAAACTGTTATTGTAGAGCCCTTTATTGCTCAACCCCATTTGTTTGTCAGGAGAGCTTCCTGGAGAGCCACACAAAGCAGCCTGTACTGTATACACAGTTGGAATTTTGAGATCTCATCTTGTGAGTGCAAGCTATTGAAATTAGTGCACAATGAGGCCGCAAAATTGGCAGAGATCACCTTCATAAGGGGTTTAAAATACTTAATTAATTCAATGATAACTTTGTAGCTTCTTTGGAACCACAAGAGTAACCTATACTTCACTTGATCATTTCACTTGAAAGCCATACGATAGGAAAGGTAACCGAGCATTCTCTGCGATGTTCTGGCATCAACCACAGTTGTTGCATCCGAAGGCTGAGCATCTCCATTTCACTAGATCATTGTTCTTTTTTACTTTACCTGCTTTGTGTGATTAGGATTACAAAATGTTTGAACTCTCTCCAACACTCATTGGAATAGGAGTTGAGTTAATTTGAATAACAGCCAAAAAAAAACCCAGTTGCTGTATTAAAAACAAAACCTCAAGCAAACAGCGTTAGTTTTTTTAAAAAAAAATGCAAAACACCTTTTGCTATTTTACAATTTTTTTGTAGTTTATAATTGTCATTAGAAAATGATTAATAATGCATTACCATGAATGAAAAATCTGTAATCAGATTTATTTCTGACTTTAAGCAGTGCTGTGGGTTCATTGAAATGACATATCATGGTTAGGTTGTGGTGTCCTGTAGCTCAATGGTTAGAGCACTCGCCTCAAAAGCAAAAGACCTGGGTTCGACACCCGGCAGAGTTAAACCGTGGGCAAGTTTCCTTACTCCACATGCCTGATAATAATCCCTCAAGAAAGAAAATAATAAACTGTCACTTCAATCCACAACTGTTTGTGGGACACTGCTGTGCGCAATTGGCTTGTGTATTTGTGCCCATATTTTACCCACAAATATATGGTCAATTCACTTTACAGGATATTCTGTAAAGTGCTTTGCGACGTCTAGAAGATGTGAAAAGTGCTATATCAAATGCAAAGAATATTATTTATTATTATATAGGTTGTGGTAGATTTTTCTCAATTTTTTGAGATGGTGTGATACGAAAGAGATCATGAACATGCATTTCACAAGTATATGGCTTATTTAAACATAAATAGATTACAGATCAATTATACTCTTTTGTATTTAAACGCTGAAAGATCCCAAGCTTTGGAGATCATGCTACCTGTCTACTTCCACTTCTTGTCTGTTTCCATTGCTGATGTACCATAGCCTTGTTTTGGAGGTAAAACCGAATTATCTTCACTTTAGTCAACCTCTTCTGACCATTCAGTTATTTTCCAGTACAAATGGTGTTTTTATCACTTCTTCCTGAATGCATGGGTGTATTTTCTGAATGGAGGTGGAGGGAAGAGAAACAGAGATGTAGATTTTAATTTCAAGAGAAATAGTGATCACAGATTTTTAAAAATAAAGTAAGATATCCAATACAGTATTCACTTCTGGGTATTTTCTATTGTGAATGCATCATCTCCACTCATTTGAAGCTATCAGGCAAAATATGCCTGGTCACCTATATTCTAGTACCTGCAGCTGAGGAATGCAATTGAGGAATGCCTTTACACAAGCACACAAATGTTATCTCTCAAAAGGAGGGAATTCTGGGTATCCTCTGTAATATGTCTACATGCAGAGTTTTCACTCAGCCATACCAAACTCACCTTCTATACCAATGTCTGTCTGTACTTCAAGAAGGTTCTCAATAACCG